TCAGAAGACAATATGCAAATTCCCACAGAATTTGCATATCCTCTTTCGAAATTAAAATGTAATCTAGACATGCCCATAGTGAGTCACAATTCTGGTTGCCTGAGCAAGACGTCAAAATAAAGAAAAGTGTAACATTGACTAAAATTACAAACCACAATATTGCAAACACTTATGCACATGCTTAACTTTATGGAGTAGCCTCAGAAGACAATATGCAAATTCCCACAGAATTTGCATATCCTCTTTCGAAATTAAAATGTAATCTAGACATGCCCATAGTGAGTCACAATTCTGGTTGCCTGAGCAAGACGTCAAAATAAAGAAAAGTGTAACATTGACTAAAATTACAAACCACAATATTGCAAACACTTATGCACATGCTTAACTTTATGGAGTAGCCTCAGTGACTGAGTACTCTTCAGCATCACTATTTCAACTAAATAGGCTTAAATTACATTACGGAATTGATCTATACTACTTACATGATTATATTTAATTCAGTTTATTTAAATAGGATAAAACTACTTAAAAGACCACTCTTTACATACAAAATGTACATTAATTTGAAACTTTGCTATACTGAAGTATAAAACCTGCACACAGGTTTTAGTGTTTAGTAAAAGGATACGGGCACACAATATTTAAAAAAACATACATCATTCTATTTTACAGCATTCAGACATGCCTTTGATTCCACAATAATGAATGGGAAACTCCTGTCACAATTATGTCTGATGTAGACTACTGTTCATATTTTTAATATATATACACACATTTTAAAAATTCAAAGTAAGCTTTCAGATTGGTGCTGACAGCATTTTAAACTGGCTCATTAAGCCAACCAAAAGGTCTTTTCGTGTTTAAATTCAGTGGAGGAAAAGCTTTAATATTAGAGGTACACAGATTTCATGTTAATTGTTGCATAGAAACGTCACTATTTACCACATACACCAAAGTAGGTGCAGGATCAGGCCCACTAAACCACTGGAATCAATGGCCCACTGTCATTGATTTTAATGAACATAGGACCAGATCCAGTGTGCTACACCACACAATAACCTAGATGGAATCCACTGGGATTCAAAGAAAAACCAACAATCTTATTTCAAAACGGTCACAGGTAGGAGAGAGGCAAAACATTGCTAAGAGTATAGTATTCTAACTCTCAGTGCCATGACTGGTACCTCTTGATGTGCTGTTGATAGGAGAGTGCTGGCCTGCATTCCGTGATTTCCCACTTTATTTTAACAGGCATTATTGTAACAAAAGAAGCTTGTTGCATACACACACAGAAATGTGTATATATAAGAGCATGGCACTAATCCATTCATTACTTTTCCTCAGATTCATACTGAATACAGATTCTAATGTGCTTCCATGTGCATTTTTTAATCTCAAATGACTATAGAAGCTTCAATTTGAAGCAAAGATTTTACATAGTTCATCTATTACCAACTTAATCTGTATTTTAATTGTAATACAAATACAATTCTGTAGTTTTGTTCTGTATAACAAAAATAATAATAGTTTCCCTAGAATAAAATCTGTCAATAGGATGATGTTACACTATATTGTTTAAGTAACTATCTTCTGGAAACCAAGCAGGGTTTGGATACACAATCTTTCATACCACTTGGAACCTCAACAATTGTGTTAAAGGTATTTAGAGCCAGAACATGACCTACTCAACTGAATTTAGTTAAACAGCATAAAATATGAACATTTATAAGGTCACATAGGTGTCTTACAAGGATACGTAGGAGATGAACTATAATATACTTGAAAATTCAAAAGTAGTATTTTTTAGTTTCTTGCAACATCACCATCTTTGGAAGGGGAAGTGAAACCACTCAGTACAAGACGGTAAACACTTTTAAGGTGATTGGTGAGAATAGGATTCCAATTTTATATTAGGAAGCTTTCAAACTTGTTAAGAAAACTCCATAATAATGTGAATCCCTGTATATTTTAAAGAAAAATGTACTTCAAATATGTACTTCAACTGTTTTGAACTATAGGAGTGATATATTTTACATTTCTAGGACCCCCAAAAATTCATGGCCATGTTACATGCTGGATTTTCTTCTTTGCTTCTGTAGGTTTCAGGTCATTCTGGAATAGAAGAAAATATACAAATAATATTAGAGGTGTTGCAGTAGACAGTATTTAGTAATTACTGTACTATATCGAGGGGTGGTTAGTTGAACACTTCAGCACTATATGCACCATAACAACAACTTTCTGTTGCCATCTTCTGGAGAAAGCTAAAAGGTCAGGCTTATCCAGAAAGTAAAAAGTAAGCAGGAGAACTATAAAAGCTGATGAATTTAATCTCTTGCAAATTCACCCTTTTTTTGTTGTGGTGAGACAGAGCAGTTTACCAAAAGTATCCCTCTCATTATGCAAACATGAGTAATTTGGAATACATCCATATAAAAAATTCTTAGACTAAAGTTGAACCCATGAAGAATTCTTTAAAGCAAATACAGGAATGTAATCTATTCTTCAAATAATTAAATCTATTTTAAAACGAATATTCAAAATGATGTTCTATTCTAAAAACAATTATAATACACTTGCATAAAATTGTTGAAAAATTACCATTAGAAGATAAAACAGGTATTTCTTTACACTACAACATATAAATGAGGAACCCATTGCTTAAGCCTTTGGGTGTATTTGCAAGTTTGAGAATAAAAAAAGTCTCCATGCAGACAATCTCCAAGTCAATCTCCAACAATCATCAAGAATAAGAAACAAAATAGAGGACTATGTAGCACTTTAAAGACTAACAAGATGGTTTATTAGCTCATGAGCTTTCGTGGGCCAGACCCACTTAGTGATCTGAGGAAGTGGGTCTGGCCCACGAAAGCTCATGAGCTAATAAACCATCTTGTTAGTCTTTAAAGTGCTACATAGTCCTGTATTTTGTTTCAGCTACACCAGACTAACATGGCTACATTTCTATCACAAGAATAAGAAGGAACTGAGAAACAATTACTCCAATTGGCTAAGCAGGCAAAAGCCGGGATAAACAGACTGGTTTTGCACCACACTCCGAAAAGCAAACTAGCTCTGACAGAGCATAATAAAAGATAAGGACACAGATTCAAGTGCACTTCAACATGACACTGACACCACACTTTGATGCATAGACCTAGGTGTTATGAGCAACAATTCAGCTGATCTCAGGTACTGGAAGTTGCAAAGAGATGGTCTTTAATCAGAACACAGACAGACACTTTACAAATTAACACTTTACTATGAGTAGTTCTTAACAAAGGGGGAGGGAGGAAAAAAAAAAGCATCAGCATGATTGAAATGGCAAGTGCCAATATCTTGAGTTTCATACTAGTGCAACCATCTGCCACTTCAAGTCTTGCCAAGGACCAATGTTAAAACTGTTTTGCCAGTTTAATGGTGCACAGTAACTTTCCCAATGACAAAATACAGGACTATTTGATCTGAGGAAGTGGGTCTGGCTCACAAAAGCTCATCATCTAATAAACCATCTTGTCAGTCTTTAAAGTGCTACATAGTCCTGTATTTTGCTTCAGCTACACCAGACTAACACGGCTACATTTCTATCACTTTCCCAATGACACTGTCTCTCGTATGTTGAAGATTCTTTACCACTTTATTATGTGTATGGTTTTCTTTAATTATGAAAAGTCTGCTTACGACTAACAATCTGTTCACCAAATTACTGCAAAACAGGAAGTCATTTATTCTGCCAGGAGATATATCCCTCTTAAAATTACAATGATCAATTAACAGATACAAATATATAACATTTACTACCACTCAAACTATGCACATGGAAATCACTTCCCAAACAACCAAAAATACACAGGAATGTAGGACAGGAAGCAAAAGACAGTATTATCAAATTAAAATTGAATGAGGAATTTGGGCTGTACTGACAGCATGTGGTAGCTCAGGGCTTGTCTACACTACAGAGAAAATTGAAGCTGCGCCAAAACATGATTTAGGATACTTTTTTATTCCAACTACATAATTAACATTGCTCGAGTTAACTTTCACCTTTAGTATAGGTCAGGCCTCAGGGACTAACCAACATTAATTCCTACTTTATACTTTTCTTCTAAAAACTCTGAAGCTATTCATTAATTAATAGTAAAGTTAAATTAAACCACTTGCCCAGTTGTTAAAGCTCGATTCAGCAAGATACTTAAATACATATGTAACTTTAAGTATGAGTACTGACACTGACTTCTCACACTTTAATTTAAGCACATTTTTAAATATCTTGCTATAATGGATCCTAAATCAGTGTAAAACTACAAAACTGCAGTAAAGATTTTGATTTCAAGAATGTCAACAGTAAACTCTGTACCTGAATTTAAATATTTAAGTGAACAAAACCTGCTGATGTACCACACAGCAGCTTTGTGCTGTGAACCAAACAAATTTCAAAACCTATTTAAGTCTGGACATGGTCAGTATCTAAGGGTATGTCTACACTAGCTCGGTAATTCGAGCTAGGCAGGCAAATGAGGGCAACCGGAGTTGCAAATAAAGCCAGGGATTTAAATATCCTGGGCTTCATTTGCATCTTCCCGGGCACCGCTATTTTTAAATCCCCCTTAGTCCGAACTCCGTGCCCGCGGCTACATGCGGCACGAGTAGGTAGTTCAAATTAGGATCTCTAATTCGAACTACCATTACTCCTTGGACTTCATTTGCAACTCCGGTTGCCCTCATTTGCCTACCTAGCTCGAACTACCGAGCTAGTGTAGACATACCCTAAAAGACCTCTACAGAGCACTGAAATAGTTCAGTGATGTTGTCAGTAAGGGTCTCTTCCTGCTAGGTCAGCGTTTATCCAGGAGGCCTTTGAAATACTGCTGGAAGAGCTGATTGAGATTAAACACACAAATGAGTATGTGAGCACTCAATTTCCAAGGAATTCTCCATAGAAATCAAGTTCCCCGTCTAAGACAGGGATACATTATTTTATCTGGCTTCCTTTGATAAAGTTTTGAAATATGTAGATGGGCCAAATGTCGGAAAAGCCTCTTCCGAAAAAAGCTACACAATTTGCTTATCTTTTCCCTGGAAGAACTGTATAGTCTAGACCAGGGTTTCCCAACCTATGGGTCGGGACCCAAATACAGGTCGCCAGGTGTCTCCCCAGGTGGCTCTTAAGTAGCCATTCACACATTTTTTGAATTGTCCTGGGTCACCAAGTCTGCCTGACTTGTCAAAATGGGTTCCCATCTGAAAAGGTTTGGAAACCGCTGGTCTAGACACAGCCTTAGGGTGTGTCTAGACTACAGGGTTTTGTCGACAAAAGTGGACTTTTGTCGACAAAACTATACCCGCGTCTACACTACCGCTGAGTTCTGTCGACACAACGTCGACAGAACTCAGCAGTTTTGTCGACGCTGGTAAACCTCATTTTATGAGGAATAACTCCTTCTGTCGACAGAGTTTCTGTTGACAGAAGGTGTTATTGCAAGTAAACTGTCCTTTGCGTCTACACTACCATGTCGACAAAGCAGCTTGCTTTGTCGACAGAACTGAATGTAGTGTAGACGCTCTTTGTCGACAGAAGTTTTGTCGACAGTATCTGTTGACAAAACTTCTGTCGACAAAAGCCTGTAGTCTAGACGTACCCTTAGAGAGAGGCAGCAGGGGGAAAGGAGGGAAAGAACCGGTGCTGGGGGAAGCCAGTGCTTGGGGGGCGGGAGGGGGAGCTGGCTTAAAAGCCAGTTCCCCCCACAACATCTGGAAAGGGGGCATCGGCACAGCAGGGAACTAGCAACACACTAGCAGGGCTCTTGCTACATTTCAAAATCAGAACACAGCAGGGAGCACGGGGTGAGCGGGGGCCTGTGCTCCCTGTGCACTTTGCTTTTGAAATGTACATTTTCAAAGCAGGGGGCCAGTGGGGGACTCAAGTTACTTCTCCATTGCATCAAACATGAAAAGAAAGACACATAGTTCAAGGCCCTTTGCACCCAGTCCCCCAACCTATCATGTCTCACAGGCTGTCACAATGCCAATTCCTGCCTTTGATTCACAAATGACAGCAGCCTTCACTGCCCACTTAAGTTTTCAAACATAACCATGCTTTCTCCCATGCTACTCATCATGCACGAGAAGCTCCCCACAACATCCACATAGCAACCTCATTGTACTCCTTCAAATTCCTTCTGAAACTCTTCTTTGCTGAAATGCTGTTACCCCAGAATTGATGCTATGTCAAACCAAAATTTAATCAATCTAATTGCATCCATATTGAGTATTTTCAGCCATCATGAATAAAGAAAATAGAATACTACATACTCAAGGATTAATTTGGACAAGATAGATTTGAGGAAGCAAATACTAGCTGTAGACTTGTAGTTTCCCTTAATCAGGATGGGAGGAGGAGAGAAAGTTTCCACAAATTATGAAGCTGAAAAAAATAAGTGGATCAAGACCTTGAGCTTGGGTGCCTTTGAGACAGAAGCTTGTTGTGGCTAAGATTACTAAGAATGTTTTATTGATAAGTAGTTGACTGAAATGAGAAGTAAAAACCCATTGGATACTAATACACTATTAGTCAAGCATGTTCTGTAAAAATTATTTTAAAAAATCTAGATGATAAAGCATACTGTCACATAGTTCTCTAAAGCTATCCTGAGAAACTTTTCTCTGGCAGGGAAGCAACTGGCCATCGCTGACCTGCTGCTAACTACTTGATGCCATCTCAGATTTCAGGTAATTATTTCAGATGTCCTCAACCTAAAGCTTATGTATTAGGGCTGTCAATTGACCTGTGTTAATGCCTGCAATTAACGCAGGACAGGATTAACGCTTTATTGCTGCACTGTCCCTCTGAAGTGCTGCTCCAGCGTTTCAAAAGGGGGTAGTGTAAGCAGTGCCCCTTTGAAGCACCGGAGTGGCACTTCAAAGGGGCTGAGCAACGCGGAGTCGGGGATCAGCTGGAGTCCCCAGCTGATCCCAGGGTCCTAATGCACTTCCCCTTGGATACACAGCCACGGTGCTTCCAAGGGGCAGTGCTGAATGGAGCCCAGGGTCAGCTGGGGACTCCCTGTTGAAATGCCGCTGCGGCATTTCAAAGGAGAAGCGCGCAATGAATCGTGATTACATTTTTTAATCGCTTGACAGTCCTATTATGTATATGTATTTAAATCTAGTAAGCAGTAGTTTTAGATAAGAGCATGCTTCCTTGTATCTCTCTTTCATCAGCTCAAAGTGCTGCGTTCCTATTGATTTATTCCTGATACTAGAGTGAAATAGTTATCAATGCTTTGGGTTCTGAAAACCTTGAACAACGTCTGCAGAAGCAATTTAATATTGGTTAGACAGCTGATGTGCTGAGCGAGCTGCCTATAATACTGACAAATTGTTGCCTTCTGCTCATTCACCATCACCACCCTGTTAACTAATGTCCTATACTTAGACTCTGATGAGGATCATCATTTTATTTTGTTTGAACGGTATCAAGACAATGGAATTCTGACCCATAATAGGAGCTCCAAGGCAATTGTGAAACACCAGTTATTAATATAAGTAACAAGTGCTAAAGAATTAATATTTACTGGGGGAGCTGGCTAGTCGATAAAGTACAGGTCAGGGAATCAAGAGAGCAGTTCTAATCCCAGCTCTTAGACAAGTCACTTCAGCTTTCTGTGCCTCTGTTTCCCCTCCAACCTATTATCTTAGGGTATGTCTACACTTGCAGCCTATTTCGGAATAGGGCTGCAAATGTAGGCATTCGGAATTGCAAATCAAGCCCGGAATTTAAACATTCCGTGCTTGATTTGCATCTTCCCGGACAGGCGACATTTTTTGAAATTTACAAGCCCGGAATAACTGCCCGCGTCTACAAGTGGCAGTCAAACGGCCGTTTGAAATAAAGCCCTATTTCGAACTACCTGTTAAACCTCATTGCAGGAGGAACAACAGGTAGTTCGAAATAGGGCTTTATTTCGAATGCCCGTTTCACTGCTGCATGTATTATTGGGGCAGTTATTCCGGGCTTGTAAATTTCAAAAAATGGCACCCAGCCAGGAAGATGCAAATCAAGCGCGGGATATTTAAATCCCGGGCTTGATTTGCAATTCCAAATGCCTACATTTGCAGCCCTATTCCAAAATAGGCTTCAAGTGTAAACATACCCTATGTGATCTATTTACACTATAAACTCTTGCTATTTGTTTTCCTATTACCAACTATAATGGGGCTTTTTAATACTGCAGGAATG